TGACCCATTTCCGGGTCAAACGGGTCATAGGAGCTGCCAAATGGGAGAAATCCTTCACAAATCTCCGATAGTAACCCGCTAAACCAAGGAAACTGCGGATCTCAAACACATTCTTGGGTCGCTCCCAAGTCAAAACTGCTTCAACCTTTGATGGATCAACTGATACTCCACCTTCTGAAACAATATGCCCCAAAAACTTCACCTCCTATAGCCAAAACTCACATTTCTCGTATTTGGCATACAATCGGTGCTCCTGCAAAATCTGTAAAACAATACTCAAATGAACCTCGTGATCTTCCCGAGTCCGTGAGTACACAAGAATGCCATCCACGAAACTACCACAAACTGGTCCAAGTAATCGTGAAAGACGCGGTTCATCAAGTCCATGAATGCCACTGGCGCATTAGTCAAGCCAAAAGGCATAACAAGGAACTCATAGTGTCCATACCGTGTATGGAATGCTGTCTTCGGGATATCCTCATCCCTAACCCGCAACTGATAATAGCCAGACCTCAAGTCAATCTTCGAGAAACAACTGACTCCCCTCAACTGATCAAATAAATCATTTATCCTTGGCAAAGGATACTTGTTTTTTATGGTGGCATGATTCAACTTCCGATAATCAATGCACAATCTCAACGAACCATCTTTCTTCTTAGCAAACAAGATCGGTGCGCCCCACGGTGACACACTCGGTCGGATGAAACCTTTCATCCTCAAATCATCAAGCTGCCTCTTCAATTCTTCCAATTCAACTGGTGCCATACGATACGGTGCCATAGAAATCGGTGCAGTACCATGCATCAAATCAATAGTGAACTCCACTTCTCGGTGTGGAGGCAACTCTGTCAAATCTTCTGGAAAAACATCCAAGAAGTCACAAACAATCGCCGGATAAACTTCTCCCACGACATCATCTTCTTCGGCTAGAAGACTAGCTAAGAAATAATCACCATGACTTCGTCCACGAACTCCATAAAACGATGAAATATGGGAATCACTCCAATTTCCCACGAAAAAGAAACAGTCTCCCTCGGGAGTGCAAACTGTAACCCTTCCTCTGTAACAGTCGATCGTGGCATGAAATGAAGCCAACCAATCCATCACGAGAATGACATCAAAGCTATTCATCTCCAGGAGGATAAGGTCAAACACAAAGGTCCGCGCAGCTATCACAATGGAGCAATCCCGCACAACTCGGCTCAATGACACTGAAACCCCAACTGGCGTATCAACACATAACGCCCGATCCATGAAACTAACCTCTAACCCCGATGCAAGTGCAAATGATGATGAAATGAAAGAGTGAGATGCACCAGAGTCAAACAAAACACGGGCCCAACAACCAAACACTGGAAATATACCTTGAAGAACTGACGGTCCAGAAGATGCATCGGTCTGTGCCAGTGCAAAAACACGTCCCTGTGGTACCTGTGCCTAAGGACTGCCAACCTGAACACCTGACTGCTGCACTGACATAGTAGGAGTATCCCTCCTAACTGATCGTGAACCCTGTGAAGACATAGTAGGCTGTGGTGGTGGTGGTCTGAAACCTGACTGAACAGTAGCCGATTGTGACGGCCTCTGCTGTGACCCTCTGCCACTAATGGTGCCTGCTCTCTGACTCGGACAATCACGAATCAAGTGACCCTGCTGGCCACACCCATAACAAGCCTTCGGAGCTGACGAAACTGAAGACGATCTCATCGGACAACTGGACTTGTAATGTCCGGGCTGCTGACACTGATAACAAACAACTGCACTCCTGTCAGGTCCAACTGGCATAGGAGTGGTAGGAGCAGATCTTGTAGACTGTTGCCCCTGAAACTGAGATGGACTGCCCCTGTTCCTTTTCCAAGAAGATCCCTCTGAGGATGGCCCTGCACCCCTCTTTTGCTTCAATTGCTCTCTTCTTGCATCCTTCTCTCTATTGTCAGCCTCCAGCATTAAAGCCCTTTCCACTGCTTCAGAGTAAACCTTAATAAACTTTGCCGTGATCAACGGCCTCATTCGATCATTAAGACCCGAGACAAACTTCCGAGTCTTGTTAGCTTCATCTCTCACCACTTCTGGAGCAAAACGGGAGAGTGAGGTGAACTTGTTCTCATACTCCGCCACTGACATGTTCCCTTGAATAAGATTATGAAACTGGTCTTGTAACTCCCATCTTTTGGAAAGCGGAAAGTACTTCTCATAAAACAGTTCCTTGAACCTGTCCCAACTCATCTCTTCAATCTTGTACTGGTTAGTGATCGACTTCCACCAAACCTTGGCATCCATAGCAAACTTGTAAGTTGCTAGGATGATCTTCAAGTGATCCTCTGTCACATCCATTGAGGTCAACTGAGTTTCGACTTGATCCATGTAGTTGTCAGCTACCATTGGGTCCGCACCGCCCTCAAACATAACCGGCATCAGCTGAGAAAACCCCTTAATGATCTTGAGACGCTTCTGAGCTGGAGTCTCGTTAACTCGAACTGTAGGTTGTGGTACCAACTGCGGCTGAGCAACAATAGTTGCTCTCACGGCATTTTGCAACAATCGATTCAACTCTAGTGCCACAGAACCTTCACCCACCTCTACGGGTACAGGTGTTTCAACATTCTCTCTTCTTGGGGGAACAGCTCTTGGGGGAATCAAGTCCCTAAGAAGCATGTTCTCATCAACTGGCTCCACCGGATTGGAGCTAGAGCTCTCACCAATATCGCTCCTTGTTGGCCTAGGGCCAACTTCTCTAGGTTCCTCACGCCGTGACATCGTGCTATAAAACGAGAAAACGATTCAGAAACATGACACTAAGGTCCACTGTGGACGACTCAACAAGAATTAATACCGTACAACACTTAGCATGCAAGACTATGTAAGAAACATTTTAACATAAACAAGTAAGCAAGTAAGCACATAGGCAGTTAAGCATACTCATTTAAATAAGATACCACGTAACAAATAGTCAAGTAAACAATACAAACAACATCCCATGCGACTCTATGTAGGTCTCTACCCGTCGTCCTAAAGGTTTTCGAACCTTTACTCTGATACCAAATTTGTAACGATTTTTCTAAAAAAAAATTCGGCATAACCTCCCCTAAAAATGGACCTACCGCAACCTGTTTAAATGCATATTTAACCTGTCATGCAACTAATTTCCGAATTCACGGCAACAAAAGATAATGATACAACCTACTAATCTAGACAATGCGTCAAGCTAGGATTATCCTTCTATTCATCAACAAGTTACATATCATCAAGTTCGCATCCCATATGTCATCAAGTATCATAAGTGTATTACATGATCATGGTTCTTCAAAAGAAATTTACATCATTACACTTTTGGAATTTTACAAAAAATGAGGGATGAACAAAGGAGTAGTCTATTACAAAATAACAAGGAAAATGCTCCTCTAGCAACTTTCAAAGTTGGGGTGGATTGTCGTCCACCGGTTCTTTTCCAAGACCTGAAAAAAAATATATAGATATAGGGGTGAGCATATAGCTCAGCAGAGACACTTAAGACACAAATCTTGTGTCCTTGTGAATTCAAGCAAAGCATAGGCCAATGGGAGATAGGGATCATACAACGTAGGGGATCAAATACAACATACAATTCAATTCCAATTATAAACAATGCAATGCATGTCAATGACACTCCCCATTTTCATTCTCAAAACCATCACTTTCAAACGTTAATACAGCCCGCCCTTTGGTAACCCCGCCGCGACACGAGAGAAGGATTGGCTAGTGTCCTTGACCCTTGGTAACCCCGCGGCGTCATTATGGGACCCAGCTAGCTCAACCACACTAGGGCGACTCCCTAGTCCCCTCTAGGCTATATTAACCTCCGGCCCGTTGGTAACCTCGCAGCGACCGGGTTTCGCATAAAATCATTTCATCAAAAACACTTTCCCGAAATTTCCCCCTTTTGAAGTAAATCAATTCTTTCCCTTTTCCTGCCCAATGTTAATGCATGAATACCTCAATGACATACACAAGTTCATCATTCCATACTTTATCCAATTTAAGCAACATGGCATAATTCGCAAGAATAATCAAGAAAGTCATAACATGCTTATATATAACAAGTTCTAGCACAATGAACATATATAATCAAGTCCTAAACATGCTTCACATAGAACCATCAACAAATATAGTCACACAACTAACATATATGCATACATATCAACAATTCTCTAGATTTTAAACAGCTAATCAAATTAAACAACAATTAGAGGTAATTAACTCACTAAGGTACAAGATTTCATGAATTAAGGACCCCTACCTCAAGATTGCACCAAAACCCTAGAAAATGGGTCCTTAAATTCGAGCTCCAATGAAGACTCAAAACTGGAAATTGATGGTATGTATGTATAGAGCTTGACACGAGCTTCGTTTTGCCTTAAACGGAACCTAATTCCAACAAAAAATGAGTGAGAAATCTAACCTCAAAGTTGAAACCAAAAAATAAGATAAATATGAGCTTACGGGTTGAGAGAGAGATGCACGAAGAGAGAGAAAGGGAATCAGGAAAATGAGACCAACTTTATGGTCTTGACCCTTTTCTAAAGTGCCTTGTGGGCCCCACCATTAAATTATTTTTCTTTTACTTTTATATTACACTACACACACACAATAAATACACAGACATCACATTTTTTTTTTTTTTTTTTAACATGAAATTATAATGTGCTTAATATGTCGAAGGTTGGAAGTTTCAGCTCTTCCAAGTTCCAACAAACTCAAATCTCTGGAAAGGTTGACTCCATATTTTTCAAAACTTTCATTCGACGTAATTATAAGGTAATTTACTACTGCACTTTTTATTTTATTTTTCTGGTCCGTATAAAAAAGTGTAGGAAAAATGTTGCATATGCCAGACCTAGTTTGGGCTGACGGCTGATTTATGATCGGACCAAAGGACACATTCTGGCCTATAGCAGATAGCAGACCCGGCCTGGAACAAAATACTTGTTTTATACCTTGTCGTGGCCCTGAGTCCAGTGGGTCAGACCCAGGAAATAACCGCTACAAGAATATATTTTCATCTCTCTGAGTCAGGACTCCACGGGGGAGAGAGATTTTTGGATTTTTCGATTCCCGAATTCTCTGGTGCGAGTCGCAAAACATTTCTCATAAGCAAATCAGAGATCAGGTATGAGCTCTTATTTATACTCTATAATTATCGTTGATTATCGATATCTGATATGTTATGTTTTAGACCTAACACTGTTTGGTTGCTTGGAAAAGTGAGGAAAACAAAAAAGTTCTTGTTTTTGTTTCGATTTCCTACATTTTCTCGTAATTGGAGTGCAATTGTTTGATTCACCATTACTGAGGTTTTTTTTCTATGAGTCTAAGAAGAAATAAGGCTTATGTTCAATTTATTTGACTTGTTTATTTTGCTTGTGTTAGTTCAATGGGGAAGATGTTGCCTTTAATGTTTATCATGGACACATTTAGTTTGTAATTAGTATGTATGTATGAATGTAGATATTTTATGTGTGGATTTAAGGTTTATAGATTTTAATTTTAATTTCAATTTCAAATCTTTTGGTGCCTAAAGCAACACAATTGTGGATTTCTATAATGCCAATTGCAGTATCATGGTCCCAATTAGATTTTGTTCAAAAACAGATTTATATTATTTCTGCCAGTTTCTTCGGCTCAATTAGGTCATCATGGGAGCTCGAGAGTGTAAGAAAGTTGTGAATTTTGTGATGTGACTTTTTGGTCACTTTTAAGAATCAAAACCAAATTCCTCGCATTGTTTTCTGAATGTTTTCCTGCAGATTCCACATGAAATTCAATCTGTAGAAGATGCACAGTGCACCTTGTATTCAGTCTCCCCCATCATGATTTGTCATGCTAAGTTAATGAAGTTATGGTGACCAAATACATGTGCTAGTTTTGGGATTCATTGCATGTTACATACTTCACCTGAGCCATTTAATGGTCTGCGCTTCCAACATTATATTTCCTTTTTATTTTATTTTTTATTTTTTTAAGGTTTTACATTCATCCAAAAGAATTTCAACAGTATACACAGTGGGCTAGTAGCTCTTATTTCTCTTCAATTTAATGATTTCAGATCCTTTATGTTGCAAACAAAGTGAGCTAGAACCAAATTGTCATCGTGCTGGGAAGTTTTGGTTTCTATATATATATACATCATAGTGAAAATGGATGCGAAAGCTTTAGCGAAATCGAAGAGAGCTCATTCTCAACACCTCAGTAAGAAGCATAATCCAACTCATACACCCAAAGTGACATCTGGTGGGGCTGTTGGAACCGGAAGTGCAAATAAGCCATTGGGAAAGCAAGTTAGAGGCAAATCCTCCCGACAGTCTCAGGGTTCTAGTGCACTACCCTCAAATTGGGATCGTTATGAGGAAGAGTATGAGTTGGGTTCAGAAGGTCAATCCAGTGATAGCATGAGTCAAGCAACTGACATTATTGTGCCAAAGAGTAAAGGGGCAGACTTTGCTTACCTGATTTCTGAAGCTAAGTCTCAATCTCAAACAAATATCACTTTAGAGAGCTTTCCATCACTCGATGATGTTCTAACTGGTGTGTACTTTCTCCTTCCTAATTTAGCCGTAGTTGTTTGAGTCATTTATCTCATTTTAGCGAAGTTTAGCTGAGGCATAGAAGTTGTAGATTAATATCGGCTTGATCTGCTATAAGTGATTGGTTTGTTATTGATTTTTTAATTGTCATTTGATACATAATTTTTTCTTTAAGAAATTATCCAACTTCTGTATGCCAAAATATTTAACTTCTCTATGTCATAATACTCTCTTTATTAATCTGCCATTGTCCACGAGGAAATCAGTTGATGATGAGAACGTTGATATGTATCTATTTTGAATTTCAATCATCTCATATGACTTGCCAGTTTTGGCAGAACTGCGTCCACCCTCGATCCTGATGGCTACGTTTATTATAAGTCATTGAGAAAAATCTGGGTTTTGAAATTAACTTCTACTTGTTTATTGTTCGTCTTGAATGTTAATACATCACCATTTTCAGTGGTGTGGCATCTTTACTTATGCTCCATAATCGTGATTTTTCTGCCTTAGTACTTATAACATACTTCTTCTTTTTCCTTTTGTAAATAGTGGTATTTGTGTTCCCATTTTTCCTGTTGTCTCATCCTTTCATGGTGATGGCCTGGTAGGAGAAAGAGGAGGGTCTTTGTGGTTGAACCAGTTCCTTCAATCTTTACCGAAGTTTTGCTTCAGCTTTTTCCTAATGTTTTCTTTTTTCTTCATCATAAAATATCTGTTGGATATATTATGCCTGCATAACTATTTTTTAAGATGTAATTTATCCTGCAGTATTGACATATACAAAGTATAGCACATGACTTTTAAATCTGGATTCATATATAATGACAACACCAGGATCAGATTGTACATTCCTTCACCACTTGGTCAGCATATACTTTTCCACAGTTTTGAGTTGTTATCCTGTACAACATAATTATTAGTAAATCTGATGACACCTTTGACATTGTTATCAGTCCTTTATATTACCGAGTTGGTATCTTTTCCCAGCATTTTTTGTTCTTGAACTGTTGCAAGGGCTGTAACTGATGCAAGCAGATTGCAAAAAACTTGATACGAAAGTTCTGATATGAAATATGATCTAGGATTTGACTTCAATTTTTCTTAGACTTCAACCAGGGAGTAGAGTCTCTGCTTTCTGTCAAGGGACAAAGCCTTCTGTCATGGATGGGAGATGATAATTTTATTGTAGAAGATAGAGCAACTGCAACTCATGAGGTATCTCATCATTTCTTATTCATTATGTTTTTATGTTGAATGAGACTAAAATTATGCAAAAGAGACAAGGATAAAGGATAAGTCTAAGTTACCATTCTCAAATATACCAAATCATTTGTTTATGCATTGTTTCCCCCAACCCCGCCCGCGTAAAGTTAAGTGTAAGAGACTGTTAATGCATTGTTGATCCAGTGTATTGAATATATTTTGTATGCTCATATATAGAAGTTCTACCACTGTGGTTTATATCTTTTGTTTGTCATTTTCAACATATGTAGGAAATTTTCATTTCTTCTTTTGCCACCATTGTAGTTTTTGTGCTGGTTCCAGGTTTTTTTTTTTTTTTTTCTTTTTTTTTTTTTCTTTTTTTTTCTCTTTCCTTTATTTTTTTGACAAAGTGCTAGCTCCATATTTTGAACCTTTGATTTCATTTGTTAGTGTTGTTGTTCAATTATAATCAACATGAGATAATTGCTTCCTTCTCCTAATCATAAAACCACCCTAATAATTCGTGTTAATATTCATGATGAAACTAAGTGGAAATTGAAATTAGAATCGCACCAACAGGCCAGAGGCCTAGTGGTACCAGGCCCCTACTTCCCAAAGGGAGGTCAAGGGTTCATGTGTGTGTGAGTACCAACTAAGAAAAAACAAAATTAGAATCGCCATTTGCAGCAGTGGAGTCTTTTCAATACATCGCTAATTCAATATTTAATACATAAACTAAAAGTTGATGTTAAGCGGTGGTTGATGTAAAAACATAGAATTGTACACTTTCTTGGTATGTTGATAATTGGGGAATAGATAGGTCCCTGAGTGCAACAAATATTATCATGAGTGATGATAAGAAGAAATGGAGACTGGATGGTGGTATGGTTATGTGAGGATTTTTTGGTAAGGTGGTTGGTTATTTGAGGTCCTTTAGGAATTCTTCCATTAAGTGAGCCACTTTCTGCTTTGCTTTGGTTTATTTATTTGTTTATTCCTAAATGGTTTGGTTTACTTGTATGTTCTTGCAGGCGTCATTTCTCTCCCTGAATCTGCACTCTCTCGCCGAACAACTTGCAAAAGTAGATCTATCACAAAGGCTTTTCATTGAAGCAGATTTATTACCTCCAGAGCTGGTATATATAATTAGCTGCTTTGTAGCTTGCATTTACCATCTCTGATAAATGTAATGCTAAATTAGAAGTCAGGGATAAATCCATTTTCATAGCATCCAGTGCTTTCTGAGTCTGGAGTTCATTATTAAATATCCTTTGAGATGTCATAGTAGCTCCCCCATCAATCTTCTAGTTCCAAATTATGCTAGCTTAACTTGGTCACTGTTTTGAGTCTATATTACAGTTTGGACTTCCGTTTAATTATTTGGTTTGAAATGGAGTGTGGTCAGATCTTAAAGTTTCCGTGAAAGATGCTTCAATTTATTTATTCTGTGTTTGCACTTATTTCTTATCATAATTTCAATTCTTAAAAGTTTGAAATTTCTACTTATCTCATTCTATGTGTTTTAAATTTGTTTCCACTCATCTTTTATGCTCTATATGACAGTGTTCTGAGTTACAAGAAAGCAACACTCAGGAATCTGACCAGGATCAAGCAACATATGGAAGTGAAGCGGTTAAGAAAGATTATGGGGAACCAACCTCTCATGGTCTTTCACAAGGGGATAAGAATGTGCATCAATATGAGGTTTCGTCATCTCAGACCACCATTACAATTACCAGCACCAGCAGAATCCATCCAGTTCCAATCTCTGCTAATAAAGGGTCAAAGTTCACGAATCAAGTCAAGGATGATCTCCAGCAATTTGATGGAACTGGTAAAAGCACCAAACAGGAGTCTGTTACAAAAGTCAACGTGAATTCTGATGCAAACCCAAAGAATCAACAATCTCGGTTTGAGGCAGCAGATGCAGAAGCAGAACTGGACATGCTTCTTGACTCATTTAATGAAACAAAGTTATTTGATTCCTCTGGCTTCCCAGGGAAGTCTGGTTACACATCTGATGTGCCACTAGAAGGAACTTCCACTTCATTGTTAGTCGGAAGTTCATCTGTTCATTTGGCTTCTGTTGAACCTTTGAAGCAAGGCTCAGATTTATCAAAATCTGCATTAGTGACCAACGACCTTGACGGTGCCATTGATGACCTAGTCAATATAACATCAAATCTGAAGAACCAAAATGGTGCACCACGTTCCCATGAGGTAATGGCTGCCTCTATTGATATAAAATCTTCTGCTGCTGCTGCTGTTTCCAAATCCAATGTATTAGATGATTTTGATTCATGGTTAGATACAATTTAATTGTCAGTAAGCTAAAGAATTTTGGCCAAGAAACTAAATGTGTTGTGCTTCAACTTGTATAAGTAGGTGAAAGAATAGTGTTGCGAAGGAAATATTACTTTTAATGTGGCTTCCTGTGATTTTTATTAAATCTCCTTAACAAATTGTAAATTTGAAAAAATTGTATACCAATATATATATAAAGCACACTCATGCACAGTCACGCATCTCATTAACAAATTGTAAATTTGAAAAAAAAAAAAATTAACAAAAACGATGTAATTTGGTTTTGTATTGATAGAAATTTGTCTAGACTTTAAACAAGAAATTAAGGGTCAAATTTTGTTTCCTATGATAGGATTTGTAATGAAGCTAGCCATTGTCAGCTAAAGCCACAAGGCCCCAGCTTCTTTCAATACGGGAGTTAACTCTCCGGTAATATGAGTGGCCATAATCCGATCCAGCCCTCCAAACAACCGTCCTCCGATGTACACAGCCGGAAACTGCAACCGGCTATCACCTGCACCAATTGTATCCTCCAACTTGTGGACAACACTGGCCTCATCTTCTTCATCGACCTCGTACACCGCTGGGTTGACGCCGAGACCCTGAAGCAAACGTTTGACTACGTGACTCATGCAACACCCACGCATACCGAACACTATGACGGCATTGTCTGATAACATTTTCTTAACATGATCGTTTGATCCTTCAATCACTTCAGTGCTGTTCCCTGTTTTAGTATCGTTGTAATTCATGAGCTGTAATATGCCGTTAGAGTTTGGTGTGGGGCTTGGAAGCCACATCTTGTAAGGGAGTGCCTCTTGCATTGTGGAGAGAGAGAGCTAGAGAGAGAGGGGTGTATAATGGTTACGGAATGTGGCGGGCTTGGCTCTTGGGATGTATATATGTGCATATATAGATAGAGGTGATATTGTGCGTGTGTGCATATATATATATATATATATATAATTGGAGATGGTGGTGGAGGACAAAAGTCACAAAAGGAAGGTACGTGATGAGTGGTTGGAAGACTTTTGGCGTCAACGCATGCAATTACGCTTTCTTACGCGTTACACATGTTGGGGCTTACCATTTAAATATTTTAAATGTCACCTTGATATTTATTCTAAAATTTTCCCACTATTGGATACCCGATGCCTACTTCACACTTCATAGTTCATACATAAGACTTGTCTCTCCCTCCCTCTCTCTCACTCATTTACTTTTGTTGATTAAAACGGATGATGAAATAGATATACAGAATAATGATTTAAGGCAACATATATGGTATAAAGCATAGATAGAAGAGGTCTCTCATGATAGGTACGTTGTTACAACCATGATTAACCACGCAAAAATAAATAAATAAATAAATATTAAAAAACCCTCTTGCATCGGGTGAATGTATTTGGGTTTTTCAATTTCGAAAAATAGAATTGAAGGAAATAAATGAGCGTAATCTAATTCTTTACTATATGCTGCCAAACAACGCCTAGTTTGATATCCTTCGACATTGTAAATATACATTATATATATATATTCCCTCCGTCTCTTTTTTGTGAGTCACAGTTTACGAAACGGACAACAAAAAAGAGACGGAGGGAGTATATAACTTCGACATAACAGCCAGTAGCAAAGAAGAAAGGCCGCTATTAATTGATTGTGTAGCGTGTAGTCAAAGAAGGCAGCAGTACGCCACAATTAATTCCAACACCACCACATCCTCATTTGCAATATGATATGAATGCCTCCTACTGAGGTGCAGAATGACTCTAAATAGTATATACATTCTGCAGTAGCTGAGTGATTGTAACTTTGAGTTATACTAGTATATGATATCCTCTTATGTAATGTACTCCTAACGTATGCATGGCTAAAGATGAAGGAATTCTTAGATGGATGATGAAGAAGAAAACAGTAAAGACGAGAAAGTAATGTCACAAAAATTCAAATGTTACCGACCAATGAATGCACTATTGGAAGCATATGAAGCTCTAATAAATCCCCTACAATTGAACTATAGTGCTTTGTAACTTGGACACCCTTTTTTAATTCAAAATAACTGTATCTATATTAGATAAATACAAAGTACTCTGCTGAAACTTGCATCAAGAGTACCATATGGAAAACTGTTCTAGGCCATTATCATGCTTGTAATCAATATCCAACACAACTTTTTTCATATCCAACTATATCTGTCTATTACAGTGAAGCATCCATCATGTCCATCACTCATTGCATACAAAATCGCCCTCCATCACTCATTGCATACAAAACCATTTGAAAAGGTTCTCAACCCTTTAATCGCCTGAAAGTGAAGAGCAAGGATGCCCCTCTTTTATGTCACAGTCCCCTCTTTTACTTCTCACCAACCTACTGTGTTTGTGGAATGATGTCGTCATTTCTAATTATGATAGGTCTTAAGGAAAGAGAGAAATTACCTTTTTGTTGAAGTTGTATGAAACCTCATCACAAAGTTCTCCCACTTAAGCAGGAGTATAGCCCACAAATCGCATATTCAAGTCAAACATCATCAAAAAATTGCATAGAAGACTCTCAAATGAACAATTTCAAGAGTTCCCAGATGATATTCAGCTCCCCCCATTTAAGGTCTTTCTCAAGCTAATTAAATTCCCTCTTTCCAGAGTCTCAAGAATACAAATAACCCATTTAAAATGTCGGCTACGCAGACTTTTACATAATAATTTCACACATTTAACAATGTGGTAAACAAAACTAAAGTTCAAGCTATGCCCATTTCTTCCCACTCGTGCTCTCCAAGTTCATTTCCTGAAGGTTCAGCAACAAATCATCTGAATTCAAGTAAACCTTGTTGGCTGCATGCGACATTGTCTGTGCAATTTCTCTTGCTGCTTCAATCTTTCTCAGTGTGATAAAAGCTGGATTGTTGGCAATAGCTTGACCTATCAGCTGGGCACTCTTGGCCTCACCCTGAAAACCAGAGAGGAAAAAGGGCAAATGTTAATTAGGGGAAAGAACTACTCAATATTTGAATGCCATTTAGAAAAAAGACAGAATACCAATCCTTATACCCTCCAGAGAGAGAGGGAGTCCTGGTTTAAAATATGAAACCAAGGAAAAAATAAAAAAAGTTTGGCCCTGAACAATTTTTCATGTTCAAGCACACCATTGCGGCAACTTGCATGAAAAGTACAGATCACAATTTTAGTTTGAGAATCAGCATTATTTTTTTTTTTTTTTCACACCTGTGCTCGGATGATAGCACTTCGCTTGTCTTGCTCAGCTTTTTCCACGATAAATTTGGCCCTCTCAGCTTCTTGAGCAGCCACCTGTTTGGCTTCGATTGCAGCCGTAAACTCTCTACCAAATGTTAGGGTTGTGATGGAGACATCATCAAGTGCAATGTTGAAATTGGCTGCCCTCTCTGTCAATATCTTCCGTATTTCCCTACTAACACTCTACAAATAATGATTGGGTTGCTGAAACTCAGTTATACCAGAAATTTTCCAAAAGTTGTACTACAAATAATACACAAAGAAGCCAAAATACAGGTAGAGTAAGGAACCACTTATAATACAAATTTTCCATCTAATTAGAAGTGGAACTCATTATTTCAGTCAATCTGGAAAAGCATAGTAATTTTTGAAGCAAACAGTTCTTAAAATAAATTTGCCCATGAGCTTAACTGTCAAGAGTCAACCAATGAGGATGCATAACAGGAAAATATAAGTTAACACGATAAATTGCGATTTGAACCTTAATCAAAAGAACTCACTCCTGCTTATAACATTCAATTTTGAATATACAATGTGAGCTGCCTTGTAGTAATGGTTTAGCTGCCTACCTCTCTCTGGGTAATGAGTTGACTGGCATTATACTGCGCAACCACAGCCTTCAAAGTTTCATGAATGATTGAAGGCAGAACTCTTTCACTGTAGTTCTCACCAAGTGTCCGATAAATTGTAGGTAATTGTTCTGGCATAGGACGGGTAAGAACTCGAAGACCTATCTTCACCTGTGCAGCAAAACCCAAAGCCAAGTTCAGAAAGTAATCAGACTCAGAATAATAAGGATTATTCATAAAAAACACAGTGCAGTTGGAGAACAATCAATATTTTGCAAGAGACCCATTAATAACATGACATCAGCAGAGATACAGCAATACAAAAGAAGCATCAAAATCCAGATTTCATAAAGAAATCAGGAAATGCAAGAGAGAAATTAATCAATCATGTATAGTTAAACGAACAAACAAAAAAATTGTATACTTTGCCATATCTCTGTGTTCCAGAAAAATTAAAAAATAAATAAAAAGCAATGCAGGAGAAAAACTGAACAATCATAGACATGAAACAGGTATAGTCTCACATATCATAGAAAGCGGGACATCCAATAGGTACAAGAAGAAAATGCATCAGGTTTAGCATCCATTAGCATCTTGGTTCTAAGCACGGTTGTTGCACTATGCATGACGCATGACAGTTCAACTACAGAAAAAATGAAATTAGAAAATATCTAAACAAGTACCTATCTTAGGCGCGGTTGCTTTCAAAACCAAAACTGCACATTCAATAAAGATTTATCTCATTTCATTATATTATTCTTTTTAACCGACCATATACCTTCGTCACCAGCTTTCATCATCCTTTCCAACGACCGGCTTTCATCATACTTCCCCTGAAAAGAAACCCTAGTTTCCTAAATCAAATTCACTTGCTCAGCCATTCTAGAGAGTCGGAGACACCTACGAAGTAAGATTGACCACCAACACACCCTCAGAAGTCAGATCTCAGAAGCTCACCGCTTGATACCTTCGACCAACCACATACCTTTGTCGCTGGATTTCATCATCCTCTCCGACCACCGGCTTTCATAACACTTCCCCTGACACCCTTCTCTACTTCGATCTCCTCTCCGATCTCACATTTCTTCTCTTTCTTTAGATCTTTACTGCCTTTACTCTCTGTCTGTCCTCCATTCTGATCTGTTCCAAATACGCTACATATTTGTTTCATAACTATTAAGTTTCATCATTCTCTTTGAGTAATGTAGTTTTTTCTCTTTCTTTTGATTAAATGTTGATAACAATTAGTTATTGTTCACAATTGTTCAGTTTCATCATTCATAATTAGTTATGTTTTCCCTGGGATCGGCTAATTTGAAGTACTGTAAACTGGGCAGGGCGGGTCCCAAGGGGTGAAAACAATTAAACAGGGCGGGGATGGGGTGGGAGCCGGGAGGGCACCCCTTTTAAGCAGTTTTGGGCAGGGACGGGGAAGGGAAACTTAAACCATTGCGGGGTAGGGGGAGCATTCGCCCGCCCAAAACTGCCCCGTTGCCATCCCTAAACCTAGCAGATAAAATTGTAAAGAGTAAATGCTAATAGATAGCGATACACTATTTTATTATCAATCTTAATAAAAATTAAAAGGAAATTATATTGGAAGGTTCCAGATCCTTAAACTTCAAGTTTTTCCCTAATCTGTTACTTTAATGTAAGAAAATGTCAAAGGAACTTGAGGAGCTTCTAAGAGAGTAGAAAAAGTGGGGGATTCAAGATCCTACATACATAAATGCAGATCCTCAAGCTTCAAATTTTCCCAAATCTCCATAAACTTGATGTTATCAAATCTTGAATGTAAGAAAACGTGAAAGGAACTTGAGGAGCTTCTAAAAGAGTAGTAAAAGTGGGGGATTCAAGATCCTACATACCTTATTATGTGCATGGCATACAACTTTCCTGTTGCAATAAAACAAAACTTAAACTAAGCAATCAGAGCATGATATAATGTAAAAAAATGTATCCCCCATAGCCATAACAGTGAGACAGACAAACAAGTACATAATTCAAGAAACACACTATGTCCGAAAAGAAAACATTTCCTATGATGGAGTGTAGATAACCGCTTCCTGCCTTTCTGGTGGTATTCTTAACTAAGGTTTTCTTCTATACATCAGGAAATAGTTCTCCCCATGGCAGCATCCTTTTTTATTTGAGGTGCTTATAACCTGAAATTTTCTTCACAAAAGGAACCGCACACATTACTGTAGGAGCTTCGACACTTTCTAAGGAAACGTAATAGAAGTAAAATTTAAAAATACCACAAAAAAAGAGGCAAAATTAATGTACAACGTATAGACTGTAGAACCAAGTTACATAAATATTGCCATAACTTACGGAATACCATATCTAAATGCAAGAGCACCAAAGGTGACTCAATTATGAGTATCAATGGACTCAAGCCACTCAATCCAGAATTGTTGTCCTTGGGGCTTGGAGATTCTTCTGTTCCTCTCTTCACAAATCAACCAAAGACAGTCCGAAGAGAATGGATCTCCTTAATACAGTTCATTTCTAACTTGATGCTCTCCAATCCTTCCCCTCCACAAAATCCTAAATTGAAAGATGCATTAGGCAGGCTATGCTGCAACTTTTTAAGAAGCTGAGCCATGATTTGAGAGAAAGGGGGCAGTATACAAAAAGATGGCCGAATCACTCATGGATGCTCCTTACAGAGCAAGTAACAAACGGAAATTGTCCCCCACCCCCAAATAATAATAATAATAATAAATAAATAAATAAATAAATAGGGAGAGGGGGAGGAAAGAAGAATACAAAGAGAGAAGATATCCCACAAAAACTGAAGAAACAGGAGATATATATATATATATATATATAAGAATAATAAGAAGAAGAAGAGTTGGGAAAGGATATTAGAAAGTAGAATCCCAAAGACTATCATATAAATTTTGATGGACTAAGTAGTGACTAACAACAAAAGATAACAGATAATGGAGCAAACAAATACATAAAACGTCTAACCCAATCCAAAACCAATAAGAGGGAGTAAGATAGAGAGAGAGCTTATAAGAATCCTGAACATGTATCCTCCAATTAGGAAGGAGTCTTTTCCAAGTTAGTGGAACTAAAGAACGAAGAAGACTACTATAAGGGTGAGGCAAATGATAAAGTTTACCCTCAGATGCAATGAAAAGGTGCATCTCCAAGGCCCATTAGAAGATGTATTCTAGTGTACATAAAAAACTTATCTGCAAGGGTCAATCATACTCCAATAACAGAACCCATGTAGCTTTCATCATTTCCAAACATTTGCAAGGGAATTAATAGCTAACCTCAAAAAAGAAAAACACAGAAATTATAGAGAGATGGCCATTACAAGTAACAGTGATGCCTTTCAAAAAAGAAACAATTAAACGATAATGATAATTCAGATGAAAGTGAAAATATGCAACAAAATTTAAAGTAGAACCTGAACACAAATGATCAAAATGAGTTCTGGCAGATTACTACAAGAAATAACTATTAAATGTATATACCATCTGGAGATCACGGCTCCCTGAAGTACTCTCTACCAGATGGGGACGCGCACGAACATCATAGATGACCGGCCTCTCGAACCACGGGATCATCAGATGTGTCCCTTCAGGATAGACCTGCACAATCCATGTATAAGCACATTGTAAGCGTAGAAACCAAGAAGAAACATATATTACAATCTACGACTCTACTGATGCACAATTGAAAATTAAAATTTGCAAAGCCAAAGGTCATTCGACAAGCAAATTGCATGGAAACTAAAGAAAACATGTTCATGCATATAGTATAGGATGTTCCCAATTGCACCAAATCTTGACTCCTAAATGATGCAAAAGTGTGTTGATAGTGAAAAAGATGGCATGTTAACATCTGATCTAGTGTCTATTATCTGTTACAACAAACTCTGAAGGATATAACTGTAAATCGTCACCAAGACACTCTACCACTTCCAAAGGAATCCATCATGCCCCACATCCTACCCACCCTGCCACCCACCAATCTATAAGAGATCTCTCAGCACTTTACTAAGATGTAAATAAGATGTCCTGTCATTAAGTGAAGCAGAGATGAAGGATCTAGGTTTCTTTCATGCGGTATCCCCTACGTACTATCCTGTTTCAAACTTCAAACTGTACGCTTTCGTGAACAGACAGTACGTCCAGCAACTTTTATTGTATCAACTCCGCTGGAACTTCTTGACTCTTTAAAACAAACTTATTTCCCTTAAGCTGAATATATGACTGCCTTTTCAGAGGAAGCAGTGTCAAATACTTGCCAGCAAATCTGCCCACATACTGGACACCGGACATGTCAAACATTAAATAAATTAGTAATGTAATGCACATAATAAAGAAGTAGATGACATGGGTGAAAAATAAATGGACACTCCAGTATTCAGTTGTTTGTTTTTAATATCACAATGAAAAGAGCATGATTTTTCAAGAATTCATACAACAACAGAAGCATGAGGATAATATATACAAGGATATACCACATTTGAAGAACTAAATATAAAATGTTGTGTATACCGTATACGTAAGAATCTTAGTGTGTCGATGTTCAACCTTTTAAAAATTTGTCTATGAGCATGCCCATGTCACATCATCAAGATGTCCTGCGTCTACTTCCATGCAACATAACCCAAGCAATGAACATAAGCTACGCACTCCACTATATATTAATGTTAGTACTCAACACATGTGCAGTAATGTTAGACACTACTTTTGACTAAAGCAGATTCATTAACTAGCAACTATTTGAGAAAAAGGATGTGGCTCTAATATTGTCATTCATTCACCTAGACAACACATTCCCAAAATTTGTCCATAGCAATTTGAGAATGACAACAGAAGCAACGGGACATAAATAATAGAATAGAACTAACTTATAGCGCCAAGTAAAGAAATCCCAACGGGATTACACTAAATAGCTCATCATCTTTTATTCGAAGAACAGCAATTGTACAGCAAGCAATAGAAGCAGTGACGTGGTAATGTAAGTAGTTTAAATATTTCATGTCAATGCTTTCAGGAAATATTGGCTTACTTGACTGGGCTAAGGCTGCAAATGAACCGAGCTGAGTAGAGTTTTGGATTATTCGGGTTCGGCCGAAGCTTGCTTGAACTAGGACTAACTGAACACAAGCTTGGCTTGGCTTGAGCTCGGATTACTAGCATATATTTCTTTTCCTGAATTTTGAACTTCAAAATATTTAAATTAACATTAAACTCTTAGAATCCCAGTCCCCCCAAAATGTCAATCCATTCAACAATGCCGATGGGAATAAGTGGGGAAGTCTTATATACGGAAAAGAGAAGGGAGGTTTCCGTACCCAAGGCAATGTGGGACAAACATAACAAAGTGAAGACATTCAATTTTTGTTGTATCGTGTTAAATCTTATCCCAGAAAGTAAGCTTTCTCCTCCCTTTCTTCTAAAGAATCATGCTTCACCATGCTCAAATGTCATATATCACTTGTCTCACATTGGTTGCAAAAGTAAGCTATCCCGTCCCTTTCCTCTATATGAGAAACACCTTAACATTATCTCCAAAATGTTTAATATCATGGGCATTCTCCAACAGCCCTCATTGAATTGTCAATACCATTTTGAGTACTGGGATTTTTAATCTAAAAAAAATTTAATGGGCTTAATGGATATGTGGGTTCTTAATCACAAGTCTAACAAACTGAGTTAGACAAATCTCAGGGCCGGCTCGTATGAAATGATCCTATGAAATGAGTTTGAGCTTGTCTTTTTTGTTTATCAAGCTATTACTGAGCTAACCCAAGCTGTTCATGGATATTTCGGTTCATTTGGAGCCCTTATCTAGGCATGTTTGGAAATGCAGCTTCTATAAATTCATAATAAGGTTGATGTCAAAAAAAGTTCAACATCTTGCATAAAATGAAAATGAGAAGCTGCTACGATATGCAGACTACATAAAACATACCTCTAAAAGGGCTTCTATTACAGTTACACAGCTGAAAAAATACTTAATCAACTAAAATACTAAAATCCTATCAGCCATCAACACCAAATAGATGTGTGGTGAATGATGGAAGTATCGAGAGTACAACATTATAATAGTTTAATAATGAAATGCCAACCAGGCGTTTGGATACACCGTGAATGTGTTAATCAAACCAAACTATTTCATCGAATTACTCCCACATCTGTTAAATAATCAGCAACTAAAGATACTACTGTTGAGAAGGGAATAAATAAACTAGATGATATATTTTAACAAAATAGAGGCAATTGCTTGGTACATTGTCAAAAGCTCAGGTTGTGAAGCAAATGCTGGTCGGATCCTGAGATCAACCACTTTGTGCAATAACTGACGGAGGTTAGGTCTATATCCATTTGACCACTCCCAGAACCATACCACATTGGTAATGACAATGACATATGATAACAGAGTGCAAGTTGTCAAAGTGTTCAAAACAGAATTGAAAATAATACCTCTAAGAAAGCTAACAAGTTACTGGAATGCACATCATTATAATTGTTGGAAAAATGAGAAGCAACTTGAATGGTTAAAAAAGAAGAAGGAGAAGAAGAAAAATAAGAAGAAGATGATAATGATGAAGAAACTGAATGTTGAAAACATGAAAAAGAAACAATTCGAATTTAAAAAAATAAAAATAAACAAATAAAAGACAAACAACCAAAAAAAAAACATACAAAGAAGAATAAGTTGAATGTTGAAAACATGGAAAGAAACAATTCGAATCTAATTAAAATTTTCTGAAATGGCACAAGTGCTAATTTCATTTACAAACACAAGACATGAAGGCGAAACAAAGACCTTCTCTTTGACACCAAGAATACGGTTGAACACAATGGCCCGATGTCCTCCTTCAACATTGTACAGACTGTTAGTAGCTCCATATGTACCAAGTGCAAGAAGTAAAGCAGAAACTGCACCAGCACCTGGAGCTTTGGGAACTTTAACGTTCTTGAAATTCATATTCATAATGGCTGAAAATAGGTAAAATTAACTTCAGATAATAAACTAAAGGGGGGAAAAAAAAAAAACACTATCATGCACTAAATAAAGGGCATTGAAAAAATGTATATACTATTGAACAAATTGGGGATGGGAAAAAAAGAAGCTACAAGGATAGAGAGAGAAAGAGAGAAACATAATAGATGACAAATTAAAAATTACCAAGGAAACAATTAACATAAAAAAATAAATAAATAAATAAATAAAAGCTAATTATTTCTCAATTATTGTCTCCAGAATGGTAAATAATTTATCCTAGTTAAACAGTTAAGGTCTATTTGGTTCAATTCTTTAAAAACAATTTTTGAAATTTTAAAAATGAAGAAAACAAAACAATTATTAAATAATGCAAAAAAAAAAAATGTTATGCTCTAAAACTGAGCTTTTTAACTAATTCACAAAACCGGCAACCAAGTTATCTAATTGTTGTATGTTCTTCAATTCTCCATGAACAGAAAATCATTCTGAAGAAAACTTCAAACAGACCTTAGTCAATGGGATGTCACTTAATGACCAAAAAACAGATACATTTTGTACTAAGCATCCAATAAAGCTTTATATATCATATACATGGTTAGAAAAGAGAATAACAAAGGGATTAGGATCTATTGAGAAATAATGCCAATGGGGACACACATAGTGGAGGGTGGGGAGAGAGACAGAGAGAGAGTGCATGAAATATCTTATCTCTTCACCTGTCCTTGTCCTCACTAAACAAAAACCAAGAAATTTCTTGACATGCAATACACAAATCCTATCAAAAATCAAATGTTTCTGTTGCAACTTGCAGAATCCTATTTAGAATCTGGCTTTTTTTCCTTACCAAGTGTGATATGTATAATAACAGTTTTTGAATCCTTGCTTATGCATTAAACAAAATGGATTGAGACAATTTGTAAAATGAAAATGTGCAAGTGGGTCCACTTCCAATAAACCAAATAGTTCGACCAATATTTTCACACAATTATTTTTTTGGGGGGGAGGTTTGCATTTCTTGATACCCATCATTAGAAGCTTACTTCTTTTTTTCTTTTTCTTTTTCTTTTTTAGCATTTCATGAACAAGCCCATCATCAGAAGCATGTGCTTTAAGAAATGTGAAATTTACAAACTCAACAAAAAAGAACAGGACGATTATCACGATAATGGACCTTGAACACAAAACATGATATCTCTAGATATCACCCTCATGAACACGTCAAACGGATAAAAATATACAAACAAGTCCTAGTTTTCGTATATTGAGTACCGGGATCGAATCGATTTGTGTAAATCAGACTCGATTCTAAATACATAAATAACAAATTCAAAAAAAAAAAAAAAACTAGAAATGTTTGGGAAAAAAAAAACTAGAGGAAATCTAGCTGTGCTCTGCTCTGGAGGTCGCATACGAATGTTATGAGAACTGAAAATCTGAAAGAGCTTATTGAGTGAGACGTATTTACCTAATGGAAGCCGAGGAAGAGACGATGATGATCTTGACAGCGGGCGCTCAATTTGTTAAGAGAGTGTGATGGAAGGGTTTAATGTTGTGGGCTTAAGGTTTTATTTTATTTTAATACTATTTATTTATTTATCTATTTATTTTAACTATATATATATCATTCTTTTAAAGTTAAATGACATTTTGGTCATATTCGTATGGTATCCACCTAATAAAAATTGATAGTAATAATAGTTGGGATTTGGGACCCTTTAGTTTGTCTAAATTAAATTAGTCATATAAACTGATTATTAATTAAGTTACAAAATACAAATCCAAAATGATATAATGAAAAACTAAATTTATGAAAAGGATGATTTGGATCATACAATTACACAATAATAATAATAATATATCCATATTGAGTTTACATTAAAATAATAATAAAATGTGTTTAATCAGATTAAATTTCAAAATAAGGAAACATGAGTTCACGTGATCACAATTATGATTAATCCAAATATATTAACTTCAGATTTGTGTCACAACTATATTATTACTAAGAATCTTATAGTGTAGTGGAATTTTATCGCATTCAAAATAATAGTAGAAAATTCAAGTCATCCTGAAAAGAAAATGTGAGTGTACACACATTTCTTGCCAATAATAATAAAAAAAATTGTGTTATTATTTAGTTTAGAATCATCAAAATTAAAAGTTACCTAATAAATTATCACAAGTTAAAATGAATTTTTAAAATTTTTGTTTTCGTGGAAGCAACAACCAAAATTCCACATTATAAGGTTGTAAGGGTCCGTCCATCTTTTTTTTTTTTGGAATTTAAAGCAACTAATATTAATAAAAATAAGAATTACGAGCGGGCCAATGGCCAAAACAGCCCAAGGAAAGGGAGACAAGCCCAAACAGCCCAAACAAAGAATGGCCCAAACAACGGTTCAATCTAATAACTGCAATTAACGGCTAATTAGCCGTTAATGGCAATTGTTAGCGCTCGGTCCGGTGAAACCCTAACAGAGGATGATGATTGATCACCATCAACTGCAATCAAATTAATCCGGCGGCCTTGGAGGAGGAGGACAGTGAGTTGGCGACATGTTCCAATCCACGAGAATCCGTCTTGAAGAAGGACTTTCTCGCAGGAAACCTAGCTTCAGGAGGGCAGTGACTGTAGAGGTGATCCTTGCAAGCACTGCTCTCTGTGTTGATTTTTTTGCTTTGAAGATTCTCTTGTTGCTTTCCTCCCAAGTATGGTAAACAATAGAAGAGAAGCATACTTTGCGCAGCAAGTTCATGGGAGAGTTATTCCTCCATTGAGAGCTTATAAAGTGGATTAGGTCTTCCCAATTCGAGATTGCAGTACTAAAATTACATTTGAGTTTGATGAATCGCCAAATTGGGGAGGTGAAGCTGCAATTAAAGAAGAGATGCTGATGGGACTCTTGATTGTTGTTGCAGAGAACACAAACATTTTCATGGCGAGACATTACTTTGCTGTCAAGAGTAGGAAGTCTGAATTGGCCTGTTAGCCAGAGGTTAAATTTCATTCTAAGAATGATGGGGGATTTCCAAACTAAGTTGTGCCATTGAACTGTAGGGAAATGGTCAGCCAGATGCCATTTTGTGGATTTGAGATTGTATAAACCATTTGGGGATGCCAACCAAACTTTTTTGTCACATCTAGAAGGACCCGCGGGGGGGGGGGGGGGGGGGGGGGGGGAACGTGAGAGTAGCTCAGGGATGGCATTTGTGAGACTAATGGGGAAAGACCAAGCTGAATTCGTGATAAAGGTGCCAACTATAACAGTGTCATTGAATCCAGCATTTGTGAGAATACTAAGAGGATACCTTGTGCTGAGGGGGCCACCAGTGATCCAATTATCCCACCAAAAAACTGCGTCTGAGCCATTTCCGATTTTGTGGTGAATGAGAAGCATTGCAGGATGCCTGAGCTGCAAGATCTTTCTCCAACTCTAAGAACAAGGCTGAGGGATCTTGAGAGACCAGAAATTTCTTGATTTAATGAGGTATGTGTTACACCAAGTGATCCATAGTCTGTCATCTACATTAGTTTGCAAATCCCAAATGTACTTTAAGATACTTGCTTTGTTTGAGAGCTCCAAATTTGGAATGCCAAGGCCACCTTCCTCTTTAGGCATGCAAACCTTCACCCAAGCAACTTTTGCACTGCTGGACTTCATTTCTGGCCCTGACCAAAGGAAGGATCTAAAGATTTTGTTGAGCTCAGTGATAACTGCCTTTGGGAGAATGAAAAGGCTTGACCTAATTTGTGTTGAGACCAAGACTTATTTGATGAGCTGCAGCCTACCTGCATAAGATAGAGATCTTGAAGGCCAATGAGATATTCTGTTAGTGATCCTTTCAATAAGAATGCTGCAGTGCTGAGCTTTCAGGTTAGAGGATATGAGAGGGACACCAAGGTACTTGACAGGGAGTGTACCAATACCAATCCCAAGTAAAGAAGTGATATAAGACTGTGTGAGTGGGTTGGTTCCTGAGAACTCTATTATGGTAGTTGTTGTGATGACTATATATAATAATATAACTACTCTAATTGTAGTTTAATTTAAGAAAAATAATAAAAGGCGCTATGGATAAAAGACTGCAATTCTCTAATTTATTTAATTTGAAAAGAGAGATTCTATTATTATTATTATTATTTTTTAACGTAAAATTTGTGAAAAATGTTAACTAATCTGTAGGCATACGAGGATTCTGTTCCTGAACCGATCTTATTTTTAAAGATTAAACAAAAAAATAATTCGGGGGCGGAGGCAGGGATAGTATAAATAAATGCATACTTTGCCCCTCATAATATTTTCTAATTATAAATAGTATCTAACTTTCTATTAAAAACACATTACTTTTTTTTTTTTTTTTTTTAAACCTGTTATATTAAACTAAGCCCAATTCCAATAATAGATAATATATTTACTTTTCTTTACGGTTGAAAGTTTTCTAAATTTTGGCTTAATTCTCTTACGGTTTGTTTTTTTGTGTTTGTTATGAAAGTTTGATAAGATAAAAAAAGCTTCTTTACTACCAATCGATAATATATGAATTTCATTGTCTCAAAGATAATTATTTGATCTTTTGTGGTAGTTATTTGATCTTTTTTGTTAAGTTTTGTACATATTTATGTCATTTTTTTTTAACTTAATATAGGCAAATTTATTTATTTATTTTTATTTATTTATTTATTTTTTTGACACAAATAGGCTTATAGTTGGTCTGATAAATTTTTGTATTACTATAATCGATAATATGGGCTTTGGTGGGCTTGAATCCACCAAAATGTATATATTTTTCCCTAGAGGTAATTTTAGCCCAATTAAAAAAAATAATAATTTTAGTAGTACTAGCTTACTCGTAATAGATTAGCCCACCTCATTATACAATTTTTGATCCACCCTTATATATATATATATATTTGGCTTAAAATAGTATTATATTAATTGTAAGTTCGCCTCCCAACACCATAAAATCTTGGCTCCGCCCCTGGTTTTAGCACATTGTTTATTAGGTCAAGTGCAAAAAATATCCTTATAATATGCTTACAATGCATATTGCATCTCTCCCAGGCAAAAAATACTCCTAAAATATGACATTTGTGCAAATAGGTCCTATTTATAAAAATTGAACTAAAATGTCCTTAGCAACACATTTTATAATATATATATATATATATATATATATATATATTGTGAAAAAAAGCCCTTCTTCTTCTTCTTCTTCTTCTTCATCAACATAGGCGCCGCCACCGTTCGCTTACCTCACCATCACCAAAACCTAAACAACCCCACCTGATCTGAACCCCAATGAATAATATTGCAGATCCCATAACTGTGTTGATCTAGTGGCGCCGCTAATGTGCGCCGACCTCCCGCTTCTCATCAGCCTCAACTCCCGCGGCCGCCTCGATTGCGTGCCTGTTCAGATCAACGCCAACGCCTCTGTCTTGGTGGCGTACGAATCAGCGGAGTGAGGAATTGCGTCGCCGTACGAGGCTCTTTGGTGAACTCCTCCTTCGCCGTCCCTCCCTCATCCCTCACCTTCCAGAGACGATCGCCTAGTCGCCGAAGATAGCTCTGCAAAGAAATAAAAATAAAAAACCCATTTTTGTGAACTGCTCGATGAATAGCAAATCTGATCATGCCTGTAATTGTTTGAGATTGAGAGCATGCCTGTAATTTTTATAATTAAATTCATTTGATTCATTTTGTCAAAGAATGAAAAAATGGTGATGTATATATATATATCATTAACCAGTCTAAATTGGCTTCTGTAAAGAATTCGTGCACATGATTACTGATGCTGACATTTTACATAGCTGAATTTTGAAATAGTGGAAACCATTTAGATGCTTCAATATTCATCATCCTCAATAAATTTTCATCAACTGGTATATTAGGTTCAGAATTTCAGGTACAAGTACAACTGGGAGGAAAGAAGTGGTCTCTTTGATACTCATCTTCTTCAGGGGATTTAATAACAGACCTCAATCTCTGCCATTCTAGAAACTATTCCTAATTTTAGTGTCGACATTTTCATCTTTGCTCACTATAGTGCTTGCCGATTCATCAGAGTCTATCACAGTTCATCTCCTTGCAAGGTTTTTGGGCCTGTCTTTGTTTACAAAGCTATCTTTGGCGACGAGGCGGTGTGATGTATATGTGTGTACCGTACATGTGATGGAAGAGGAAGTATAATGTATATGTGATGGAAGAGGAAAGCAGCAGCGGTGGCGGCGGAGGGTAATAAGAAGTAAGGTTTGGTAGGGGTATTTTTGAAAGAGTAAAAGGGTAAAATGAGTATTATATTAATTGATGGATATTTTTACACAAATTAAAAACAATCGGGTATTTTTTGCACATATTTTTAAATAAGAGATAAAAATACTATTATAAAAAATATACTTCATGGTTGTTTTTACACTTACCCCTTGTTTATTATATTGATTACTCCTATTTGCAAATGTTGGGTCATATGAATGTTGTTATTTGAGTTTTTCAAACTCACTTTATATATATATATATATGCGTAGTTACCTGACTAATGAATGATCTTCGTTTCCCTGAAATACCTAATACTTTCCCTTATTATAGAATTTCTCGACATGGAAGAAAAAAAGGTTTGTGTTGCTGGTTATATTACAGCCATTTTGACAATGGCATTTTAAAGGGCGTTTGCCACCTATTGCATTCCCTTTATCCTTAATTTCTTTGTGGTAAACAAGGAGGTCTTATTGTAGGGTTAAAAAGTTTACGGCAATAACAACATATGGGCTTGGAACCAAAACAATTATTTATGCTAATATGGACAAACAAAGATGAATTGAAGAAGAAATTATATGATTTTCTTTAATTATGCGTTCTTTTTTTTTTTTTTTTTATATTTCTTTTCACTTTCTTATATTTAGAGACGAACCATAAATTGAATTCAGAGAACATAATGAGCATGTGTTTATTATTTTTTTGTTTTTGTTTTTTTAATTTTGTAATTTAAACAAAAAAAATTGTTAAAAGGTCTCTTAACAAGCTAATTCACAAAAATAAATAAATAAAATCATCGTAAGTCATTTAAAACTCGACTGTTATATATTCATAAAATTATTTTATGAATATCTTATGTTTAACCACTCAATATTATATCTATCAACTGTTATATAAATTTTCTATTGAATTTCTAGCCTATCTTATTCAATTTTATGATTATATATATATATATATATATATAAGGAATAATTACACTGACCTTCCTTGAAGTTTTATCATTATACATTCACATCCACTCTTGTTTATCAAATAACACTAACCTCCCCTTTCAGAACTTTTGGACAGATGGCGTTAACTGTTATATTAAAATTACTTTTCTGCCCTTATTTTATGTATACGGTATTTTGTTACAAACTCAATAGAGTTTGAAAAGACAAAAAGGCCCAAAACCTATCCTTCAACCTAGGTACACAAACAAAAGCCACTACCTGTAACAAACAACACAAGCAATCAAATAAACAACATAAGTAATCAAACCATTCAAGTTGTTGTTCTCGATCAGCGCATCAAGGAAGATTTGGGCGGGCTCTATGCTGCGGCTTCATATATATATATATATATCCACATATCTACTGACAGGACCCAATTGTCAGGAGCTGGTTATTGGGTACGTTGATAACGACTACGACGGAGGGAATGGGTCGAGAACATTTGACGCCATGGTGTCGAGATTTTGATCTGGGTCTGGAGATTGGGACTCGATTACCGTCATGAGCAGGGAGCGGAATAGGGGTACAGTAATTAGAATCTCGTCGCCAACGGTGACGATGAGCGTTTGCGGGTAGTACCCGGTGACGTTCCGGCCGATCCAGGAGGCGACAGTGGCGTTGGAGAACCCAATTGTGAGGAGCTGGTTATTGGCCACGCTGATGACGACCCGGATCTTGGTTTTGGCCAGAGCTTTGAGAATGTATGCGTCAGCATCGTACAGATGAATGGTGATGGTTTGGGTTTGAAGTTCATAGACCCAAGCTCGGTGAAGTGTATAGAACCACCGTTGATCTTGCCATTGCCGCCGTCTCAATTCATCTTGCCGCCGCCGCCGCCGTCTCGCCACCGTTTTGGTTTTTTTTTATGGACCCTATACATCTTAGTGCCTGTCTGGACAACATAGAGGTTAGATGGTTGAAATTATCCATCGCTGGTAACCATTCAGCCATGCATCATCCAGATGTTGCTCCAATTAGATTGATGAAACATTAGGCACGTTGAGGTGATGCCACCGCTTTGGCTTTGATTGAGGAAAGAGAGAGGAGAGAGAAAAACATTGGAGAGAGAATTTGAGAGAGAGGGGATAAATAATTATGAGGGTATTTTAGATATTTTAATTAATTAATTTATATATTTTTGAGGGGTAGAATGGGAATTTGAAAATAAAAATTGATGATATCATCATTTTTGGTTGATATATATTTTTTTGTTAATGAAAGGAATGTCATTATTATACATATACAAAAACTTTGAGGGATGTCGTTGTTATTTAGTAAATAAGAGAGGAGGGCGGTATAAGTTAACTACTGGTCAGTGTAATCCTCCCTATATGTATAATTATATATATATTTTTTAAGCAACAACTGTAATGATTATATAAACATTCAGTATACTGTAATTAATTAATTACATAGGCTAAAAAAATTAATTAATTACATGGCTAAGGAGCATACTTGGTCCTCTCTTATTAGTCTGACTTGTCAACAAATAGTTTCCAGTGTCTCAGACTCTCAGTCAACAATTTGTTAAATTTAGTTTCGTAGATTTAATAATCCCTGAGCATAAGAATAAAAATGGTGGACCACTCAGACTATGCCACCTCATCATGCGACCCCATCAGGTAATGGGTCCCACAATGACGTGGCATGATCAGGACGGACATGCTCAAAATAAAATAAAGTAGTAAAACATTGCCTGACAAAGCACGACGCGTCACCTTACATCGAACGCAGAACACTCCCGATCGAACCTCCGGTTTCAGGTCCTCAGATCCCGATCCGCTTCGTCTCTCTCTCTCTCTACACTGTCTCTCTCTCTCCTCTTGGTGTAGTGGATGGCAGGGACCAATAAGTACACCTCCCTCAACTTCAACGACATATACGAGAAGAAGATCAACCATCCCAACAACAAACAATCCTCTTCTTCATCATCACCTTCCTCTTCTCTTACAAGTCCTAACAAATCCATCATCTCAAACTCTCGCATCCATGGAGGAATGCTTGTCCTGAGCCGTCCCTCACCCAGACCCATCCCACAACCCTCTCCTCCACCTCCACCATCACAAGATTCACAACCCGTGATACCAGATCGAACCCGGTTGGAAGAGGACTCCATCTCTCTGCGCCCTCTGGGGCGAACTGGGTCCGGCCCATCGCTCTCTTCGTCTCTGCTGCCAGACAAGGAGTTACCGTCGTTGTCGAAACCGGACCGATTCGTTCCGCCTCATCTCCGGCCAGGGTTCGTGGGCCGGGAGGAGAGGTCTGAACCGGGTGTCCGGTTTAGGGAGTTTGGCGGTCACCGGCAAGAGCATTTCGGGTCGTCGAATAGATTTGGGGAAGACAAGCGACCTAATTCTGGAGGTGGGTATGAGAGGATGCGGAGGGTTGGTGACTCGGGTTCGACCGAAATGAATCGGCCCGGTTCGAGTGAGACTCGGCCGAGTTCTAGTGGATGATGGTATTTGTTCTAACAAATCTTCCCATTATCAAATTCTTTTGTTGTTTGCATATATTAAAATCATTTGATTTCAACATATAATACCATCACCTTTCAATGTATTTCAATGTTCTAACAAATCTTCCTCTGTTTTCAATGTATTATTTGCCATGAAAAAAGGGAAAATTTTATTTTCTTTAGTTAATGGATCATTTTACTCTATTTGATTGGCCATATATGTGGCTAAATTTTATTTTTGTGTAATTTTCTTTTACAATTTTTGTTTGATTTGTCATTAGTTAAGAGATAAAAATAGATATGAATTAATTTTGTTCCTGCCTTTGTCAAAAGCTTATTATTTGAAATTGCAGATATTTTACTCATCCACATGTTTGATTTTGTTGTTATATGGCTATCTCTTACAAATTAGTAATTTCCAAGTGTTCGCTCAATGGAATGTCGGGTCTCTCCTTCATCTCATCTCACGAGGTCAAAAAGTTCGACTTTCAATTGGGACAAAAGTGAGTGCATGATTTATTCTTATATGTATGAAAAAAGAAAAAAAAGAAAAGAAATCAGCATGTCGAGCTCCTTATAGATGAAGTGACAAGTGCAGGAGGTCAACCTGAACCTTCTCGCACATACAAAGTTGTGATGTGTGTAATGTTTTCCACTAATCTACTAAAAACTCTAAATTAATAATGTTTTCTAATTCAAGTTGTAATTACCTTTTCGTTCTTAGATATCTGGGTAGTCTTGATTTGTCCTTGGACAAGCTACCGTAACCAACTTTACTAACTAGACACTCTAAAATACTAAAATAAATGAACTTATAGGCTCCAAGTTTTGATCACAATTTTGTCAATTCTGTTAGATTGATAATTCACGATGTCAACTCCTTAGTAGATGAATTGTTTATGTATAAATTACTAATATATTATATCATGGAATCTAACCATGCTTCTGCTTTTTGAGACAAAAAACAAGAATATAATTATAATCTATTTACCTATCATGATAGAAATTCTTGTTTTTTCATCTCAATTGATAGACGATGAGATTCAAACCCTAGTTTCTCGAGCTATTTAGCTATCATGATAGAAATTCTTGTTTTTTCATCTTAACTATAGATGAATGATGATGGGATTCAAACCCTAGTTTCTGCAGAATAGACAATAACAGTGCCATTTTGCCACTAGGCCAAGACACTAGTTACAAATCAACTACATTCACAGATATGATATATTTGGAACTACTTAGTATGTTAAGAGCATGATATAGAGAATGGTTAAATGAACAGTCAGCTAAACCTTTAGGGAATAAAAATATTGTCCGTTAATTTTGTGTTGCTTCTAAGGCAAAAAGAGTAGAAGTTTCATGTTGTAGCCTGCCACACAGAGATCTACTCTTGTGATAGCATCACCCTTGAGATGGCAATGCTGCCTTTTGGACAGCAGCAGCTTCGCCAAATGAACACCTTTTACATAATTTTGGGCTATTAGTAGTATTTTTGCTCCCTTAAGAGGATACTTCCCTTGTTTCTTTGTAGGGTTTTACTGTACTTCCATGATTAAAGAAAAAGAAAGAAAAGAGGAAAGAAACTGCTACCATAATTGAAGTGTTTGGACAAAAAATTAAGCATGTGTGAACAACTTTACAATGTCAGATGGATGCTACAGGCCATGTGGCCCAACTAACTAAAACAATTCGCTTCATGTGGTTATTGCCGAATTTGTTGACAAGTTCATATTGTCAGCATTGTCCTTTACGCACATACTATGCATTTTTTTGTGCATGAAAACCTTTACCGGGTAACGCTGATTAGTTTATCGATGGGACCTTTGATCACAAATTGGCATTATAGTAATGCCAAAGGTCTGTCTCCAATCTACCCTCTCTGCACCCTCATTTAGTTAAAATGGTCTCTCTCTCTTTGATCTTGAATCATAATGCTTAGGTAAAAGCTATTTTAGGCATAATATGAAACTAAAACAGGATTTATTCTGCATATAATTGGGGATTGTTTTTTATTCGAGTCATTGTTACTGAAATCAACACAAATTCATCACTGTTACCTGATGCTTGTTTTCAGAGTTATTATGAAGTTGATCCCCTTTCCATGGAGGAGGATGAAACCCTTGATGCAAATGGGTTCTCACTGTGAACATCTGTAATCTTTAGTCCTGGAGTTGGCATTAGTTTTACACATTTTGATGGAACCTTCTATTCATAGAAATGGGAAACTGATAAGGTGGCTTCTTAAGAGTCTCCAATAACTCAGGCGGTGGAATATTCGATTAACTAGAGGACTGAAGATTATGTAGAAAAGGAAAGAAAAGAACGTGCCAACAGAATGTAAAATCTACTTGTATGATCTGTCAATTGTTTAACTGGTGCAACTATTTTAAATGGGAGTACTGCAGTAATTGCTTCCTCTTTCAGGTATTACTTCATTATCTTTCTGCCGTTTCGTGCGACTCTTCCATTTTTCTCCTATTTTCTTTTTTTGACATTTTGATTCCATTACATGCGGACTTAGGCCTGCAATCCTTTTCCTGCTGCATCCACTTGGATCATATTATTGATTGACTGCACATAACCTTGCAAAGGAATCTTTCTGACGTCTTGTATATGGTATTGAAATGAGTTACCGTGTTTTTACAAGCATCCTAGTGGGGGTATGTTTGGTGGTAGTCTGTGATCGAACGGGACTAAAAGATAGCAACTGGATCACCCTGTTTCTTGTGTTTGGATGCTATGTGATAATGCGAGTGTTTGCTAATTGTGTATCACCTCTACTTCTGTTATGTCTGAATACCATAATTGAACTGCCATATCTGTCGTCACCTCTATTATGAATGAAATTAAGTATTTTTCTTTTACGGTGAAATTGATATCATATTTGGCATCACCTCTGTCGTGAACAAATGGAAGCGTAAATTAAAACGTCAACTCCACCTCCTTTTTTTAGTTTCCGGAGTAGTACCTGAAGAAACTAATAGTTCGATATTCCATAGAAGCTATGCGTTTGTTAGACAGTGAGCATACTCATAAGCTTTAATTTTTGGAACAGTTATGAACATTGAAGTAGTTGCAACTGACTTCTACAAATTAAATATAGGAAAAAAAATGTGTGGAGTTCTGAATCCGGAAGCAATGATTGTCCGAATGTGTTTCATAATTACATATATGTATATATTATATAATCTCCTAAAATGTCTTTAAATTTATTACTTCCCTCTTTTATAACACAAATAACAAGTTATTAATGGGTGGAAGAAGATTTGGATTTTCATTCTTTCACAGAGCTCAAGGGTTTGTCGAAAGCATGTGAATAACGGCCAAGCCTTTGTCCTCGCCGAAATAAAAAAAAAAGAAAAAAAAGAAAAAGAAAAAGAAAAAACTGTCAAGTCTTTGGAGTACTGAAGAAGACTTTATGTCTGAACATATTATTCAAAACCAGTCCAACACCATTATAGAATGCTTCCATGGCGTTAAGGGCACTTACACATTACACAACCCATCGACATGTCAACGTTTATTATTCTAAATCTGTAATTAGCAACATTGAACACATGCCTTGAAAGCACTTACACAACCCTACCCAGAGCTTGTCAAGGGTAAAGCTCAATGAGAGACCTTAAACCCAGTACGGGCATTATCTTACAGTCACTGAAGCCAGCATCCAGGAAGAGCTTCTTCCATTCCTCTTCATTTCTCTCTTTACCAGTGACTGTAATCATCATCATCATATCAAAGAAGAGTTGGGTTTTAATGGACTCATTATCTCCTTCCTTGTAATCCTGTATCACCATTTCTATAATAATCACCTTCCCGCCCTTCTCCTTGCTTGGAATTGCTTCCCTGCATCGCTTCAGTATCTTCACACAATCTTCGTCGCTCCAGTCATGCAGTATCCACTGTTTGTCATTGACAATCAAATTACAAGTTTTAGTACATAGTTTTCATTACTTGAAAAAATTGATAGTTGTATGAAAATAGTGAAACGATAAAACGGGAACCAGAGAAAAGTCAGAATTTAAAAGGAAAGATAAAAAGTAAAGCATGCAAATTAAACTAGCATAACTTGTAAAGGGTGATTGTTAGACATAATCGTCACTCTTGTGTGGTTAATTATTTTCTTGTTCACCATGCATGCATGGATTTGCCATGAAAATATACGCATGAATGAATTCATATATAAAAAGCAATATAAAATATTAGGAGTACATAAAATTCTCATGCTTGATCCTGGGAAATAATGAGAATATCATATAATGAAATATCAAAATCATTAAGTTAAATTACTAAAAATAATATTATAATACCTTGAGTAAAATTGCATCTGCTGGGGGAATTGCCTCGAACATGTCCCCTTCAAGAAAGTTCAAGTTCTTAGTCCCTTGCAAGTTAGCAACAACATGTGGAAGATCAAGCACAGTGCACTTTAAGTGTGGGAATGCCTCAGCAATGGCCTTGGCCACAGCCCCGGTGCCACCCCCAACATCCACGAATGAATTCAACCCCTCGAACACTCCCTTACACTCTTTAAGCAGCATGCTAGCCACCAACCGGGCATCACTAGCCATGGCCTCATTGAAAAAATTGTTCAGCACCGGCTCTTGCCCAGCTTGGTCCCAAAGTGTCCCCCCATTAGCCGTGTAAAATGGGGTTTGATCCTCATTTTGGAACCAAGTGCTGATAAAGTTGGATGGATTTGTTATAATTGGATCAAGCATGGCTAGTAAAAATGGTTTCAAACTCGAGGGGTGGTCCTTTATGAGAAGCTGAGAAGCAGGTGTGAGGAGATACTCAACTTCGTGCTCATTTCCAGTAACTTTTTGCTGAACAAAGAAACCGGAACGAACAAGAATGCGCATTAGGCGATAGATGCAATGGCCTTTTGTGGGGTTGATTGGTAGCGCGGTGAGCAACTCAGAGAGAGGAATGGGTTGGCCATGGTTGTGGATGATATCTGGTATGCCAAGTTGAATTGCGCATTTCAATGTTGCAGAGCTTATGAAGTTAAATGTTTGGTTCCATATGTGTGCTTGAGCCTGAAGTAGCTCACTTCTCTCTATATTAGGCAAAGCCATCATAATCTGTTTCTATGATGCTATGCTATATATTCTATCCCCTCAATCTAATTTGACAAATATTGAACTCTCTCAATATATATAGAAGTGGAGTCATGTTTATGCCTCAAAAGTGAACTGGACTGTATGAATGCCGGCGACACGTTTTTTTAATTTCTACCCATATGCTTTCCCTGAATTATTATATACATCACATATTTGTTACATTTTGATATTCATATTTACGTGAAAATCATTATAATTTAACTATGTGAACTGTGTTATTGTGTAAACAACTGAATGGAAGAGAATCCGATGTTAACTATAATGTTTTTATATATTTAAACACGTTTAATTAATGGCAAACTTTTTATAATTAATCTAATGACCTGGTAAGAGCATAAGTATTACTTTATGGACAGATGAGAATAAATTAAGAATATCGTTTAATTTTCCTGTTCATCAGAATCATCACTAATTTACTACTAGAGTGGTATTCCCGGAAATGAAAAACGGTTCTTTTAAGCAAGAGGGAATCTATCACAAGGATGCTTATATTGTGAAGAAGCTCACAGCAATATCAGTCGAGCTCTGTAAGGTGAGCCGGTGGGTGTAGTGGTTGTGGCGGCAAGAGAAAGAGCGAAGGTGGTGGTTCAAGAGAAAGAACGAAGGTGGTGGTTGTAGCGGCGAAAGAAAAAGAGGGTATAGAGAATCTGAGAGGAGTGAAAAAATTATGGGAGTATTTCTTAGTTACACAGATTGAAACAGCACGGTGTTTTTTTGCACTTTTTATATGGGGTATTTTAGACATTTCAATTGAAATGTCTTTGATTGCACAAATTGAAACAAGAGACATGTTTTGCTTTTTTGTACATGGTAGGAGTATTTTTTACACTTAACCTCCTCTCTCTCTCTCTCTCTCTCTCTCTCTATATAATAAAAATTATATATATTTTTTTAGGAAAGGTGCTAGGAAATTTAAGAGTTATTTTCCTCCAATCTCCATTAACAAGGCAATGATATGTGTAGCATCATGAAAGGGGTAGAGCCGTGATGCTTCTTCAACATGTTGATCCGTCATTTTAGAAGATGCCAAAATTCTTTTACAGAGAAGTGGGGCTTCAGTTGATGTGGACGTCCCTTATTGTAATTCTGCAGCGCATGATCTAAGAAAATGGGCTTTGAAATGCAAGGGCGGAGACTAAGATCCTGTTACGTAAAACTGTAAATGAACCGAACTATTTAAGTTCGGTTGGTTTAGAGTTCCGTTGAGTTTGAATTCATTTGTTAGACTTTTAAATATTTAAATTAAAATATGCGAAGTAATATATTTAAATTATTTTATATAAGAAGCTAGCTCATCTATACAAGTTTACCTATTACTAATGTATACTTCTGTTGGCCCAATTAGTACATAGTATTTAGAAATTCAATCTTACAAATAAACAGATAAATTCATTTAGTTAAGTAATCCATTTGGCCCAACTTGTGATTTTATTTCAGCCTTGGAGCTGTTTTACACGTAGTAAAACACCCAAAAAAAAACCCTAACACAGTCGCAAAGAGCAAGCAACGAGCCACCCTCTGCAGCGGTAATCCTTCCACCGTCCTTCAACTCAACCGGCTATTCCCACCGTCCTTCAAGTCAACCGGCGACGTCCAAGTTACCTCTCTCGCCCTCCCTCTCTCAATCTCAAGTTTAATATTCCCTCTTTGATCATATTGTTGATGGATGGGAGATTGATCATTGGGATTTGAGGGCTGGGGAAGGAGATGATGGATTACTATAGGAAATGGGTGATTAATTGGTAAACGGAGATGGTGACGATTTTTTTCTTGAAAAATGACTTGATTCGTTGCAGTGTATAGTGTGTTATTCACTACCTGAGCCCAAGCGGCCTAGCTAAGCTCGGACGAGCCCGAGCACCGCCCGGGCCTAGCCTAGCCTAGCCTAGCCGAGTTGAGTCCGAACAGTCTGGCTCATTTGCAGATAAAAAATAATAAAATAAAAAAAAGTAAAAAAAAAAAAAAAAAAAAAAGTCTTTTTGTTAGTCTAGCCAAAAATTATTGTCCATAAAAAAACATATTACATTTTTAGTGACACGCTACTTTTTTCAATTAAATTACTTTTTAATTTGTTTAATAACAATATTTTTAATACATGAATGTTATTAATTTTGTAAAACTATCCTTTAATAGGATTACCATATTTCGCCCTTTTAAAATTGTGTTATGAGTAGAGGTAGGGATGACAACGGGGCGGGTTTGGAGCAGGTTTTCCTAAATCCCGCCCCACTCCTTTTATTTTTTGTCAAGTCCATGTCCGCCCCGAGACTCTCGACAGGTTGGATTTTCATGTTCAGCCCCGCCCCGTTGGGAAATACTGTGCCCCCGTGCCTGCCCCGCTAACAAATTTTTTTCTCCCACTTTTTGGAACTTAAGCTCCTGCTATTTGAATGTGGAAAGTTTGAGAATGACACAATATAAATGAAATTATGTATCACAACAAAAATAAAAAAAATAACATGCACATAATATAATTCAGAGAACATAATAAACAAAAATAAAAGTTTAATACAACCAAATCACAAGAAATTCTAAACTCCAACTTCCACCATAACCAAAACAAAAGCAAATTTAATACCAAGTTTATATATATATATATATGCTTAGCGGGGCGAGGCAGGGTGGGGCTCTTAGGATATGTATACTGAACCCTTACCCGCCTCGTGACCCGCGACGGGTACAAAATTTGTATCCATGCCCGCCCCAACGATATAAAAAGTGTTTCCATATCCGTTATTAACGGGGCGGGACGGGGCGGAGTTCCGGCGGGGTGGTAAAAATTGACATCCTTAAGTAGAGGTTGAATACTTTAGATAATTTTTTTTTTTTTAAAATTTAAAAATTTTTTTATACAATTTTGTTCTATTTTATTTTTTTTATAAAGTAAAGTTAAAAATTATTAAAAATATTTTTGATGATTACCTTTAAAAAATAAAAAACGTTTTTAAACAATTAAAAAACAATTCCAAACAGATTGTAAGAGTTGGCAGTTTGGTCATGGTGGTTCATTAACCTTTGTAATCTTAATTTATTGGCAAGGGATCTTCAGGTTTGAAAATTTAGAATAAAAAAGTAAAAATTGGGCACCATGAGAGATATATATCCAATGATGCTTTTGCATGAGACTTCTCTACAACTAGTATAGAAAGAAGTTGCAACGTTGCCAAGTCCTCAAATGATGCCATTTAGCTTCCGGTCAAAGCATATCATTGACGGCACTAACTTCCAGAGTCCAGACCCAAAACTTGGATATACAGTATTGTTATAGTAGTATACCCTTAAAAATGCGTGTTAGATTACAATTTTATTCTTGAGAGTTTTTTAAAATTATGAAAATACTCCGTATCATTTACCCATTATTGTTTTGTTTCAAAATTTCTTATTTTTGAAAGAATAGGAATGAATTCTTTTCCCTTTTACAGGCAATTCAAACAAAATATTCACCATCACTTCTTTTCTTTTCAAATTCATAGATAATGAAACCTTACAGTATTGTACAAGGCTACATATCTGAACATTTATTATTCTAAAATGCTCAGTCCAACATTCATATAGAATTCTTACATGCAATAAGAGTATTTACACAACCCAAAACAATATTATTATTCTATACAATAGTAAGCGAATGCTTATAAGCCTTGAAAGCACTTATACCCAAAGCTTGTGAACTAATTAAAGCTGTGTTCGGTTGCATAGAATTAGAGTTTTGAAATTAGAATTGGTGGAATTAAAAAAAAAATTTAATTTAATTTTCTAAATTTTTTTCTTCAATTCTATCGATTCCAATTTCAAATCTTCACTTTCATGAAACCGAACATAGCCTCAGGTTGTGTTCGGCAGCACGGAGTTGAAACTTTAGAATTGAAATTGAAGAAAATTTTTGTTCAATTTTTTGATTTGTTTTTTTTTCAATTTCTCCATGATCCAAAACTCCAATTCTACACTCGCCAAACATGAAACATAGGCTTAAGGATAAAGCTGAATGAGAGACCTCAAACCCATTACGGGCATTATCTTATAGTCGCTGAAGCCAGCATCCAGGAAGAGCTTCTTCCATTCCTCCTCATTTCTCTCTTTACCAGATACTGTAACCGTCATTAACATATCCCAGAACAGCTGGGTTTCAATCGACTCATTTCTTGTTCTTGTCCTGTATCATCATGTTCATATCTATAATTATCACCTTCCCACCCTTCTCCTTGCTTGGAATTGCCTCTCTGCATCGCTTCAGGATCTTCACACAATCTTCGTCGCTCCAGTCATGCAGTATCCACTGTTTGTCATTTACAATATTAGTCCAATTAATTACAAGTATATAATTAGTTAGTATTTATATATTCATTATTGTGAGAGAAATCATATCCTTCAGAGAAATTAAAAATTAAAAAAAGTCCACTTCAACTCTTCTAAAAATTGATGTTTTATTGAAATAGTGACACCATGCAAATGAAATCAGATCCAGAAAGGTCAGAATTTAAAAAGAAAGAGAAAAAGGAAAGCATGCAAATTAAATTTGCAAATTTTGTGAAGGGTGATTGCTAGCTAGGTAGACTTAATCATCACACTAGTGTGGTTAATTACTGTCTTGTAGTTCACCTTGCATATATGGCATATATAACTTGATTGGAGTTGCCATGATAATATATGTGTGAGAATAAATTTGTATATAAAAATCATTTGTTTCATTGGGTATGTAAAATTATGGACTAACACACACACACACACACACACACACACGTACGTAAAATTATCATATAGCTTGGTTATGGCAAATAATGAATACATCTCTATATATATGGCTGGACAATATAAAATAAATCATATATATATATATATAGATTGAAAGATGGAAATCAATAAGTTACAAAATTAGAGATGGATTACCTTGAGTAGAATTGCATCTGCTGGAGGAATTGCTTCAAACATGTTCCCTTGAAGAAAGTTCAAGTTTTGAGTCCCTTCCAAG